ATCATATACAACTTTAAGGAAAAAATGGCATTATTTGGGTAAGCAGACACTGGTAGAATATTTACAGCTTTGTTAGCAAAGTGGATGGGGCCACAACTGGTCCTTGGTTTTGTTTTTTTGTTTGTTTTAAAGAAAATAAAATTTAAAACGTTAATTTGCGGTGTAGGAGAAACATAAATGCCTCACAGTGGTGTGTTAGGATGATACAGTGCATATGCCCATGGACAAATCATACCTAGCACCCTGTGTGAAGGTAATAAGACCGTTACAATGTTTAAGTGGCTGGATGGTGCGAACGGTTAAGTGCTTGGCTACTAACTGAAAGGCTGGCAGTTTTGAACCCACCCAGAGGTGCCTTGAAACAAAGGCGTGGTCATCGGCTTCTGAAAGGTCACGGCCGTGACAGCCCTGTGGAGCGCAGTTCTCCTCTGCAGCACAGGGGTAAGGCAACTGGTTTAGAATTATAAAGTGTACTTCGGGTCATTAGCTGGACAGTCAGCTTTCTGCTCTTGCGTGTAGATGGCTTGTTTCCAGGTTGTATTTTCAGATTTCCTTCTTTAACAGATTTCTTTTCAGTAACTAAAGAATTTTAGTTATTGATTTCATTTCTTCATTGATTTAAACTTCAAAAGGAACTAGATTTTACTCTTTTGCCTGCTGGTTATCATTCTTTATCAACTACATGTAGGAAAGTCATAATTGAATTATGTGCAGAAGGCAAGTAAAAATCTGTAGAGAAACAATTTTCCCTAAGAGTCCTAAATTGAATTAAAATTGTTGCCTATTCTCTCAGCTATCAATATGGCCTCATAATTGACAAATTATCTATAAACCAATTTTGGTTTTTCATATTGATTCAAACACTCATTCGCTTAGTTGAACAATCCATGTCTGCTCCCAAACCATTATATAAAGCGCAGACTTGTCTCTCTTAAAACTAATTTCTAGCCATTTAAAAGTCTACCCATTAAAGTAATAATAAAAAATAAAGAGCTGAAACCATTGCCTGCAGAATGGATCACAAGTTCTTTTTCTAAATTGTGTTTAGAACCAAAAAAGCAAACATCCTAGAATGATAAAAGTCAGTATTAATTCAATAAAATACATTTGTCTTAGCTTGGGCCCTTTGAGTTGCAAGTAAAAGAACCTTAAGTAATAAGGGGAACTTATTAAGGTTACTGGAGCCCTGGTGGTGCAGTGGTTAAAATGCTCAGCCGCTAACCGAGAGGTCAGCGGTTCGAACTCACCAGCTGATCTGTGGGAGAAAGATGTGGCAGTCTGCTTCCGTAAAGATTTACAGCCTTGGAAATCCTATGGGGCAGTTCTACTCTGACCTACAGGGTCACTATGAGTCAGAAGCCACTTGATGGCAAGGGGTATTAAGGTTATGAGCCTACCTTAAAACGGACCCTGAGGCCGGGGAGTGAAGCCAGGCCTCATCAGGGACTTGAAATCTAACTGGACTTAAAATCTTTGCCCCTTGGAGTCTCTTTCCCTTTCTCTGCAGACAGGTGGACTACAGCTGCCCCACACTTCAGAATTTGTGTGTCTCCCAGAAAGTGACCTGTAGAAATTGGCCAAAGTCCCCCTCCAAAGGCCCAGAAAGAAGAATCTGAATCAGTCCAACTCGGGTCATGGGAATAGCTATGCCAGAGACCAGGGTCCCCTAGTGTAGCTGCCACTGGCTGCTCCAGTCAAAGGGGAAGTTCTTTTAACTGGGCTGGGACGACCCTCAGAAAGTGTCTCCCACAATACAACTTTCATTGACATATTCCCCTACCCTCTGTCATTAAACAACTACTGAATATGTCCTGGGTGGCACAAAGGGTTAAGTGCTTGACTACTAGTCTGAAGGCTGGCGATTTGAACCCACTCAGAGGTGCCTTGGAAGAAAGGTCTGGTGATCTGCTCCTGACATGTCACAGCCTTGGAAACCTGTGTAGCAGCTCCACTCTGCACACATGGGGTTGCCATGAGTTGGAACCAACTTGATGGGAACTAACAACAAGGACGAAGTTAAACGTAGTTAATCTCTGGTGCGTCTGCGCCCATTCCTTGATTCTCGTTATGCTCCCGAAACAAAGAATTGCTTGTATTCCCATCTACTAGTCCTCTGCTTACCAGCCTCCCCCACTCCCCAAAACGCGATCAATTTCATGCCTCAATGCCTGTGGTCCTCTGTGATTGTAATGGTGGTCCTCGTCCAATCCTTTTTACCTTTCTTTAAGCATTAAAACATCCTGCACATAAATCTCTGTTATTGCTCAATCCCATTGTTTGTGGTTTCCTATTTGAGGTTCTGACATACTCGTTTTTGTGATTCCAGACACTGTGAGCCTGGTCTACAGCGGCACTGCAAACTGGTTGAAATAACATACTCTAAAACTCTTTTCAGCTGATAACTGACTCTCTTGAGTTAAAAGAAGGAAACCTGGCGGTGCAACGGTTAAGTGCATGGCTGCTAATCGAAAGGTTGATGGTTCGAACCCACCCAGTGGCTCCTCGGGAGAAAGACCTGGCCATCTGCTTCTGTAAAGGTTACCCAAATCAAACCAAAACCGCAGCTGTCGAGTCTCTTCCGACTCATAGTGACCCTCTAGGACAGAGCAGATCTGCCCCCTTGGCTTTTCAAAGCTGTAAATCTTTACAGAAGCAGACTGCCACAATCTCTCTCCAGCAGAGCGACTGGTGGGTTAGCAGCTGAGAGCTTCAACCACTGTGACACCAGCCCTCCTGTAAAGATCACCAGCCTAGAAAACCCTATGGAGCAGTTCTGCTTTGCCACATGGGGTCGCTATGAGTCGAAATCGACCCCGCAGCACCTAACAAGAGTTAAAAGAGTGCGTAATTACTTGTGTCTGTATAAACCCCTTGGAAATGTTAACTTGTCAAAGAATTAGAAATCAGGAAGTTCTAATCAAACACTCCCTCACCACTAACCAGTTATCTGCACCCATCTCTCGAGTAACTCCTGCAATTTACCTGGTGCCCTGACCCGTTCATCTTCTCTTAAAACTTCTGCTGGGCTCCCCCGCCCGCCCTTCCTTTTTGATGCAATTTTTGTCTCCTGAAGTAATGGTCAGGGCATCGGCTTATAAAATTATTATATTCTTTCTGCATACAAACCTTATTTTTTTCAAAGGCAATTTCCTTAACTACATCCTGCAGCTCTGCAGAGTTTCAACAACTTTCAACTACAAGGTCAGGCGTTTGAGATATGTTCGCCTTGATTTTCAAGACTTTTTTTTCTTAGTCTTAAAGCTTACTTCTGCGACAGTCCAGAAGGGTTTGATTTCACATCTCCCACCTCAGCACTAAGCGCGCCTCTTTTTTTTCTCCCTTTTAACTTGGCTTTTTATCAGGTAGGAAATATTGGCTGATCCTAAAAGGAAATTTGCAAATGGCTGATTTGTCTTAATCTCAAATTTGGGGGAGGGAGAAGGGATAAAAGAGCATTCCCTCAGATAATGAGTTTTAAGCCGAATTCCCCCCTCCAGCCGATCAACAAACAACAGCAGAAGCCTGCAGGACCGCCTCGGGTACCCTGGGGCCCGCGCCCCTCGAGCCCTAATAAATGAATTAGCATCTCGGGGACAGGATCACTGCAGGGCTGATATCGATCAGGGTCAGCCGGTGTGTTTGCCTGCGATTGTTTGGGGGGTGGTTAATTGAGGGTCAGTCTCGGCCTGTGTCGGCTCTCTGGCGCCGGGTGCTTTTGGATTTGCTAATTTTCGTTAAGTGTCTCTAGCCGGCTACTCGTCCCGTCTACCCCAGAGAACCTAGCGGCTCCTACTGATCAACAGTCTGTCTGTCTGGGCCTTATTGATCACAGAGCAGACAGCTCCAGGCGGATGCGCCGCGGGGGGGGCGGGAGGAGCTGACAACAGACCCCAGCGCCTGCCGATCCGCGTACCCCGGTCGTCCCGCCGCCCCCTCTTCCCGGCCCCGACAGGACCCCCCCCGTCGTCCCGCCGCCCCCTCTTCCCGGCCCCCGACAGGACCCCC